AAATCACTGAAACAATTAGTTGACAGCATGGTGTTAGTTTTCTCACAGTAAATTAGGAAGATTAAGCAAACATGGAAGTGCATTTCAGCTATAATCAGCAGGTTCAGACCTATAGAGAGTCAACATTCTCAAAGGATATATTTATAATGTTATTCATATTGTCTCCTTTCATTATATGCAAACCTGCTTGTAGCTTTAACATGTATTATTCACTGAGACGGAAGAGTGACTTGATTTTACCTCTTCTTTAATTTTTGAAGCATAGCTATTATGTTGTTGTAGCTGACATCTGTTTTCAGCAAAGTTAAGGGGAACATATTATTTTAATTTTTCCTAAAATATATTGCATAGTAAACAATATTTTACATTCTGCTGTCTCTTGTACACCTTGGAGACTAACAGACTCATATAACAATAGGCAATAAAATAAAATAGGCCCATGGTAGGTTGTATATAAAGTTATGTCCAACTATTAAATCCTCATTTGCTGCTTTATATTGAACATACGCATAAAAGCAAATATTTGGCCAGACTTCATTATTTATTTCAATTGGTTCAGACTTAGAGGTGCAAACTGTAGCTGACTGTTCTGTACAGCTAATAACTGTGCAGCTAATAAGTTTTGTGCACATGGATCTACACTTGTGAGTAACAGACAATTTCATCTAAATGGCACTACTGTATATCTTCTCAAGTAAGAGAAGAATAAATGATGCTGTACACCTGAACGTTCATCCCAATATGAACAATGTATTTTCTGCACAGACCTATTTGCCCATCACTAGCATCCCGGTGGAGCACAAAGGCAGCAACCACTTCCTTCTTTGTCCATTCGTTCTGCTCACACTATCATGTGTTTCTCTACCAGAAGTTGCCACCACCATAATTCCCCATAATTCTGATATATATTGTGTCAGTAGTGTTGAAATGTGTCCTCTTCACCATTATATACAAGCTAAAATATGTGTATTCTTTGCACATATCCTGCACAAGATAAGTCTTCAAAATCTATTTTTTAAAAAAAAATTGTTATTCACCATACATCCGCTAGTTAACTTGTTCATAACAAAGAAACCAAAATGAACTTACAATTTGCCCTGCATTTATGGTTTAAATATTTGGAATATAAAATACCCTTTTGTTTTATATTGTTCCATCAAAGTAGTTCACAGAATAAAGTCTAACCAGAATGATTTTGTTGATCAAGTGTGTTGCAATTCTGCTACTGCAGCAGTTCTTTTGCACTTATTCATGTTTTAAAATTTTCAAGAAATTGAAATGGATTTAAAAATCTCCAGAATTTTATGAAAACCTTTGAAGTTGTCAGTAAGTGCAAAAGGTTTTCAGAAGTCTAATGATGCAGATAAGAGATTAGATAGCTATCAGTCATTCTATTGAAGTTCATTAGAATCAAATCCAAGTTATCGCAGTTCAGCAAATTAAGGTTTTCCAAAGTTAAGTCTTGTAAATGTGTTGACAGTTAATTATATCTAACCTAGAATAATGCTTCAGATACCTGATTCTTGCAGTGAAAATCCTCCAAAGGCAAAAAACAAACACAGGATGTTTAGAGAACAGATACAATAGATCCATTAAGAATTAAGGGCTAATTGGACTCTGTCAATTGCATTTGCTGTTTAATTATTTACTTTTTTACCTCTATCCCTGAAGTTAAACAAGATTTGTTTCTTTTCTATCTCCCAAAGTGTGCATATACATTTTTTTGTCCTTTGGTTCCGGCTCTTAAAATAGAAGATACCAAACTGTTGTTTTTCTCTCCATCTTTTTAGTTATTTGTATCTCTTCTTGTTTTCATCCCTTTTCATTCTTTACAAGTATCTCATGATGAGCTTCTTTCTTTACATTGTTTTGTTTCTATTCATTTTTGTTTTGATTTATCCCCACTGTTTCTTCTTCTACCACCAAACTCTCTCTTTTACTGGAAACAGTGTTGTACTGTTTCATCCCACTTGCCTTTTTCTCATCTAATACCTGCTGTTCTTAGGTGTGTGTCAGAGCATGTATTAATCTGAGACCTTGTGTATGTTCAGAGCCCATCAATTCAGAAGAAGACACAAAACAGTTGGGTTTATTTGTTTGTTTGTTTATTTGTTTGTTCCATTTCTAGGCTGCCTTTCTCTCAATGGGGGCCATCAGTAGCTGTTAGCAAGCTGCTGGTATCTCACTAGTTGTCCCCCCAGAGTGACAAAGCAAAGCAAATTATTACTGGCTATTCTGGGATAGACTATTGTTATATGTGAGTTAAAGGATTCTAATTTCATTTCAGAGTCCAAAATATAAAAGAAAGAAAGAAAGAAAGAAAGAAAGAAAGAAAGAAAGAAAGAAAGAAAGAAAGGAGGGAAGGGGGAGAAACTTGAGTTTCAAAGTAGTGATTGACTCAAGAGGGCTGCAAAGAAAGAAATGAGGGAGATAACTTCCTGCCTAATTTCTGGTCATGGAAGCTCTTTAGGGTTCCCTTCCATTCGCAGAACAGCACCTTTGTTTCTAAGCCGGTATTTTGCTTCTGTCCCCAACAGACTTTCTGCTATGGTACTGAGAATAATTTTCTGTTGTTCTTTCTCCCCATGCAGCTGTACCTATACGAATAAGGGCTGCTCTGTTCTTAGAACTTCTTGCCTTTGCCCCTACCACCCATTATCTCCAGCAGATTAATGGTGCCACTGTTCCTCTTTTAAGGAAATAGATTTAAAAGGGTTGAGTAACAGTACTAATAGTGGTTCTTGTGCTGAGTAGAGCAGGACTCACCATAAAATGTCAGAGAAGGTCCCACCTTCTCAGTTGACAAGCCACCTCTGCACCGATGTGTATGTGTGCAGGTAAGGACAGAGTTCTGATTGTGTTAGTTTGTTTGAATGGTTATGTTCATTTTAATGCTATTACTGGTGCAGATATCAAGCTGTTACAAACAAACGCTGCTCAGGGCATCATTTGTTGTTGTAAGCCCGAAGAGGATGACATGGGCAATTGAAGTTTTGCTTCTTTTGTTTTTCTCTTTTCAAATTTCACTGGATATAAAATATTCTTTTAATAAGGAAATATCTAGGGAATTGTAAAAACAATATTTTTCATTCAATTAATTGTTTTCAGTAATGCTTACTATGTATCATTGATGATGTACGTACTTAACTTCAACAAAACCTATTCTGAACAACCTCCAGGTTCTCTTCCATCTTGTCCTACCCCCAGCATTATGGTATGTTCAGCTCTTCTGCACAATATTTTCAAAAGGCAGTCTGTATTCAAAAGACCTACTCTCTCAGGCATCATGTGAGGCCACATAGACTTTTTCCCTTTTTTCTTATCTAAGGTTGTTGACCTCAGGAGAGGAGAAGAAGGTTATGAGGTCAAAGTCTTTTCCTCCTTGGAGCTTGCTGCTTGCTGGGAGAGGGTTGGCTGGAAAATAGATGTTTTAGAACAGGGGTTAAGGGTCATGATTTTAATTCTGTTAGGAACAGCTGTTTTGAGTTTCTTTCCACTTCTATCTCCCCTCCCTCCATCACAAGTCCACAGAGAGAGTGAGAAGTTTGTTCAGAGAGAACTGGTAACAGAAATATGTGGCTCTAGTATGTTGGTTGCTTTTAAAAATGCATCATCTTTGCTTTTAGAATTCACATGATGAGGAAAAACAGGAGGACTTTTTCAATATATGGGATATATAGCTCACGTTATAGCTCAAATGCCATTCTGAAAGGCATTTTATTTGTTCAACAAATGTCAAATGCAAGTAACAAGCTATATTCTGCATCTCAGCATTAAAACCAATACCAGGCTCATATTTGACTGTTTAGGGGCACATAAACCCGATTTTACAAGTGTATTTTGTGCATTGATTTCAATGGAGGGAACTACATTTCTACATTCTGTAGAAATTTAAATTAGAATTTTAGGTGTCTAAGAACAGGCAGGGGAGAGAGAAAGTTGCTCACAACTCAAGTGAAAGGGGGGAAATGTAAGATTTTTTAATTTATTTATTTATATTTTTTTGTCTGCACTGATCTGAAACATTGGCCTCAGGCTGTGTTGGTGTGTGGCTGAATAGCAATCAGAGGTCATAATTTCATTGGTGGTTAGCATCAGGTTTAATTTTTCTAATATGTTACATTTACCAAAATGTCTGGTTTTAGTTACGCACTGCTTGAAACAGTTTGAATGGTTAGAAGTTTGAAAGTACCTGAAAGGGTGCAGCAACATATACAGAAATGTTTCAACTGCTTTTCTTTCAAATCATGTGAATATTTCTTTTCTAATTCTAAGAATAGTGTCTAACAGTATGCATTTATTTTGTTACAGCAACATAAACCTCAAATGTATCAACTGGCTTGCTTTCAGGGAGGAGAGGTTAATCACATGAGGGCTTAAATACATGGTTTATTACAATTTACAAATAAATGTGTTGCAACCTTCTTTTATTTATTTATTTATTATTTATTTATTTTTGATTGGGTAAGGAAAGATCATAGAGAAGGGGATTTGGAACAGGGTACTGAGGTAAATATAAAAATACAGCATGGGATAGAGAACAATATATATCATTATTACTTTTGCCAATATGTTTTCTTACTAAGCTTACTTCACACATCTTGCCATTTTTTCTAAGCCTTTATCTTATATCTTCTTTCTTATAATTTTAACCCATTCATGTTCTCATGTCTCATACAATTATACAAAGGTTCCCACTTTTTTCTAGCTTCAAAAGTTTCTTTGTCCTTTAATACTTCAGTTAATATATACATCTCTGATGCTTTGAAAAAAAATTTCTATTAACTCCTGGATTGTTGGGCTCTCCTCTTTTTTTTTCAGTATTTGACATATAAAATTTTTGCTGCTGTAGTTACATGTATGATCAAATATGTTTTTTTCTTTTTCTATCAAATCTGGTATTATATTCACAAAAACTGTTCAGGTTCATATGGAATTATAGAGGATAACATTTTTTTGTAAAAACTCATGGACTAGTTTCCAACCTTTTTTTATTATAGGAGTGTGACCAAGTTCATATTGATGATGTTTCATCAGATGACAATGGCCAGGACTTAAGGTAAGTCTAAAATGAGTGCCTGACTTTTAATATATATTGAGAAGGAGAAATAGATAGAATGTGTGTGTGCATGTATGTATTTGTAAGATTTCTAAAACAATTTTTTGTTTCATTTCTTTTTACAATCTTCCTAAATTACAAGTATAATACTTAGTTATATATTTTCTTTTCTGGAACAATCTGATTTTTTGTTTTGTTTTGTTTATTTATTGCAACTAAATCAGCACCTATAACTTCGGAACAGATGGCTTTCCTGCAGCGGCAACCAGTGCTAATTTATGCTTAGCAACTGGTGTGCGTGGAGGAGTAGACTGGATGAGAAAGCTGGCCTTCCGATACAGACGAGTAAAAGAAATCTACAATACTTACAAAAATAATGTTGGAGGCAAGTGCCCCTCGACCTGTATAATAACTCTCTTATTGCTTCTCTACTTTTTCAACATGACTATATTTGCTCAGCTATTAGAGCTGTAGATTCTCTGGAACTGTAAAATGTGCTAAGTGATCTTAGCTGAAATGCAAACACTACGGTGTTTGCCCTTTTTCTCCTTGCAGGTCTTTTGGGTCCAGCAAAGAGGGAAGCTTGGTTGCAGCTTAGAGCAGAAATTGAAGCCCTTACAGATTCTTGGTTAACACTTGCACTGAAAGCACTAACACTAATTCACTCTAGGTAAGTGGATTCAACATGGGGCAATTATTAAGAATAACTTGAGCAATAAATTAGGACATTTATCCAAATGACCCCATGTTTCTTTACCTTTTATTTATAATTTCAAATTTTAATTTTTTTTTAAAAAAATAGAACAATAATCTTAGAACTGCAGAACTGGAAGGGATCATGTGGACCATCGGGTCCAACTCCGGTCAAGGAGGCCCAGTGCAGAATCGAACTCCCAACCTCTGGCTCTGCAGCCAGAGACCTAAACCACTTGTGTTTAAAATACAGCATATTTGTGGGAACTCTTATTTTGTTTCAAATTATACCCATGAAATGTTGCAATTAAATAAGAATGAACTAGCGGATTTCTGGTCCATGTGTCACAGTGTGATCCTACAAATTAGGAGTTTTGTTGGGACAGCATAATAGGGGCTGTAGAAGAGAGCAAGCAGGAAGGTCGGGGTGCAGAGAAACATGCTATTTTGCAGCTAACTTCAAAGTAATTGCTACTCACTGAGGAAAGTAAGCAATAATCTTCTACCTCAGTCTCTGTATATCTACAATTTAACAAACTACCGCTAAGTTTCCCTCCAGTGCTGCTCCATGGAGCGTTTTTTTATTATGCTGTAGCTTGTGAGGCAGACAGAGCAACTCTGTACTCTAGTGAAACCCTAACTCGAGGTACTCTGTTGCTGCGAGAGCAAAATGGTCACTGCATCCAGTACATGTTTAGCCAATGACAGGATGCAAGACATGGCAGAAAGAACCATTTAAAAGCTATCTAAGTGCCAAACATGGCCCCAGCCATTCTTAGCAACACTAACTCTACAGGACATGTCAGAGATGATGCTGTTACTCAGCTAAGAAACAGAGGAAGCCAACCCACACGGACTTGTTTCGCATTGTGCCTATAACAGTGCCATACATCCCTTAATATGCCCAATATTCTACATCCATATGCCATCCACATCTTGACTAAGACTCTCCCATTTCAATTATTTAAATTATATATATTTGCTGTTAGAACTCATTTACTGTTGGAGTGTTCTTCTCTAGAGCTTTTCAGATCTGATATGTCTGTCATGACATGGATTTTCTGACATGCATGCATGGTGGGGCTTACTGAATCTCCCACCTTCTTATTCATGAGATCCTCAGTCATCAGCTGTAGCCTAAGGATCAAACGTACATTACGGATAGTCAAACATTGCAAGAGAGAATTCCTTAAATGCAGAAAACATATTATTTCCACAGCAAGAGCTTTTCATACCTCCCTTAGTTTGCAAATTAGCTTGCTTTGTTTCGTAATTGGTCATCATCACACACTAAGGCTAGCTTCATTTACAAGTATGGCTGGTCAGTCATGAAGATATGCCTTAATCATGTCTTTGGAATTCTAATGGATTTCAGCATCTAGTGACAGATTATCTGTAATATACAGTTTGGTCCTAAGACTTATTAATAGAGCAGCATTTATCTCTGCTCCTTTGCCAGTACAGTGTCTCTTGGTGGCTTTCTTCACCAGCACAGCAGCAATAGACTTCTAACATTAAGCTGTCATATGAATGCCGCCTATTAGGAATGGGATTTTCTTATTTCTTTGACTACAGATCCAGTAATTATCCATCCTGGGAGTTCTACCTGACACTGAAATGTGGCTCATCTGGGAGAAAGGCATCTGCTGAAAGGCTTTAGGGCTTAGCTGGAGGTAGCTCTCTCCAAGCTTCCTCTCCCTGCCCCAGTGCTAGTTCGGAGCTTTCTTTTGAACAGAAAGCTAGGAGGATCTAAGCCCAGCTAAGCCTTAAAGCCATTCAGTTGAGATCTTTCTCCTAGATGAGCCACATTTATGTGTCAGGTAAAAGTCCCAGAATTGATAATTATGGGATTTGTAGTCCAAGAAATCAGAAAATCCCATCCTTACCTTAGCCTATGAATAGTTTCATGGCCACAATTCAGTTTATTTCTCCCCTCTTTCCACTTCCTCATTTCAAAACAAAGAGAGTAAAAGTGATATAAATGACAATGTTAGTACATTTTGAATAAGGATGTGTTTACCTCTCTCTTTTTAGGTCAAATTGTGTGAATATTCTAGTAACGACTACTCAGCTTATTCCAGCTCTTGCAAAAGTATTGCTTTATGGCTTAGGTGTAGTATTTCCAATAGAAAATATTTACAGTGCAACTAAAATAGGTAAGTTGTTTTTACAGTGAACAGAACTGATTACTTGAAACTGTAATTACAAATGGGATGGCATAATTATTGAGCTATTAGTATCCCTTTTTCCAATGCAGAAATATAATTCAAAATTATTCTGTGTTTACATATACAGCAAAATTGCAACTTGTGGAATTTCCTGTTGGAAAATTGTGAACTAAATTTTAATAATAGGAAACATTAAAGCTAATTTAGAAGATCATTTCCTCTAATCTGCTCCATTACTCCATCTGTCACTCATTTTCTGCTTTGTGCCTCTCATTTATCTCCACTCATAGCTTAATGTGTAAGCAGAACATAACATGTGTTCTCTTTGGGTTTTTAAATTTTTCATTTTACAGTATCCATTAAAGTTCTCTAGCATATAGGGGAACTCTAAAGTTACTTCCTCTTAGTTGTATTTACATGTAGGCCAAGATCCAAAGAGCTAATTTAGACATTTGACTATCTGTTCCACACTAGGAACTGATTTTGTGAATCCTTCACTTTCAGAAGTGGAACTTTCTCCATGTCACTTGAGAAGCTACTTTTCAAGGAACACAATTTGAAAGCCTCTTTGAGCACTTAGGGTCATGCAGTTCTTTGGATGCAACACATTCACTAATATAGATGTGATCATTTCTCGATCAAAGTCATTAAAATAATATTGTATACCACCTTTCAGTTTACCACTTGACCATTTTTCTTACCTGACCATTCTTATTTTCTTTCTCTTCATAACAACCCTGTATAGGTATTGATGGATTATATTTTACACACTTGTTTCAGTTTTACAAATATATCATCATGAGTTGATTTCATATTCATTTATCTTCAAAAATATACAAAAGTGTGTACACTTTCTCCATTCAAAGTATACAGTTTTGTATGCACGTTTCCGTAAAATATGTATTTTCTATGTAGTCTCCCCCAATTGCAAAATTCAAGGAAGTGTGCAATTTACAGGATAATATTCATCCAGTATATATGAATTTGGTTGGTCTGCTTAAAAATGGAAACTGAACAAAATTGTCACCCATCCTTACATAAAGTAGATTAGGCAAAGAGAGTAATTTATTTCAATTTACTTCCCAGTCTTTTTCAAAACAAAACAAAAAAAACCATATGTCTATACTAGCACTAGCTTGTCTCTGGTATTGATCATTTCATGATTATATGCATGGGTGTTTTTTCTTCTCCCCATTATTAGCTCAATTTTTCATTTTTCTTTTCTTTCTTTCTCACAAACATTGTTGAATTACTATGAATGTGTTGTGCACCTATCATGACTCAACCTGTAATTAGGCAGAGTGAAATGGCTGCCTCAGGTGGCAGGTGCAAAATAAAAGGACTGGCAACAAAATATTGGAGCACAGGTCTGTTTTGTGCCTCATGTCCAGCCCTGTGTTCCTGCCCAGTTAGACACATGCCCTCAAGTGCAGTAGATGTCTCTGATCCATTGCTAGTTTCTGAGAACGATTCACTTCTCAGACTGATCAGGTTTATAACATGAAATGGGTAGGGAAGCCATCTTATCCTTTACTTCAGACCGCAAAATTGTTCTAGCTGGCCCTAGAACCTGAACTTGTATTAGTAACTTTGCTGGTATGTGTAGGACACAGCAGCATTAACAAGATTCAGTGATGTAGCTCTGAATAGGCGAAATTAAAAACACCACCGCAATAAAAAATTGTATGGATATTGGTCACATAACGTAGCCAAACTTCAGCTTAAAATGCCAGCTAGAGAGGAGTAGCTTTGGTCAGAACCTTGTGCTATTTTGAGTAACAGATCATATGAAAATAATATAATGTGGACTTCGACACTTGATATAATAACTTCATGTTGTAAAACATATGTAGCCATATTAATCAATGTGTTGATGTAATGAAAAGCAATATAGCTTCACAAAAATTATGCTTAGTAGTATACATGAGTTGTACAGTCAGTAATAATTCATGCTTATTTTCAGGAAAAGAAAGTTGTTTTGAACGCATAATTCAAAGATTTGGAAGAAAAGTAGTATATGTTGTTATAGGAGATGGTGTGGAAGAAGAACAAGGAGCAAAGAAGGTAATGAGGCAAAATTTTGTATTTCTAGAGTAATATTTTTAGTTAAATCTAAATGTTTAAATTCAAATTTAAGGCTTCTTAAATTTAATTCCACAAACTGTGAACAGCCCTCTCTTTGTGTCTATGTCAAATGTGCCTGTGACACCAATGGGAAGGGCCTCCTTTGAAGAGCTTCAGAGCCAGGAAGGTTCACGTGGCTCTTTAATCATTATGTATTTTCTTCTTTCTAGTAAGAACAAACCTTTTCAAAAGTTTTCTCTTCAGTAGACAATTTATGAGACTTTTTGTATTTTATTTTATTTTATTTTTTGGATTTCAGTATTCGTTGGAGGAAAAGGCAGGATTTTTGTATGCTAAAAATTTAGATTTGAAGTTTAAAAAACCCTTGTATTTTGCTTTTTGTTATTCGTTGGAGGAAAATGCAGGATTTTTGTATGCTAAAAAATTAGATTTGAAGTTTTAAAAAACCCTTGTATTTTGCTTTTTCTGATTTTTTTCTAAAAAGAGAATTGTTAATGCTGCTTTTGGGGGAAAGCATGCTTCTCTTTTTACTCTCAAGTATTAGTAAAACGTCTTGCAGTTGCTGAGTGTTTTTTCAGTGGAGTCCTTTGATGTATTGAGACACTTTTTTCTTTGAGGATGGCATCATTTGCAAGTATTTATATTAACTTTGTGGGGATGGTTTGGTTCCAGACAGAGACAGGTACAAACTACAGTTCAGCCAAGTTCTGCACCATGTCCGCACAAGCATTATGCAGGTCCCCGTGTGCACTCGCCCATTTTCCAGGCAATGTGCACTTTACGCCTCACCTCCCCATCACAACTGCCCACTCACAGATCATAGCATATGCTTCTCTCCTCTGCCTCCTCTGGCAGCTGCGAACTCAAAGGCAGTGGTACGGAAACGTGCACTGCAATCCGTAAGTGGGCAGTCACAATGGGGAGGCAGGGAGGGAAGTGTGCATTGCCCAATGAACGGGTGAGTGTGCAGAGAAGGCAGGAGAGGAGATTGTGCAACACCCACATAACATCTCTATAGGCCTGGCGAACTGTGGTTTGTGCCCATCTCTAGTTCCAGACTTCAAGCATTCATGAGAGGGCAGACCTAGAAGGCCTGAAAAGATCTTTCAAAGCTCAGGCTTTGACCAAATCTAATGCTCATTCCTGACTGTATTGCATGTGATTGTGAAATAAGGGTTCTTCAGCACTTGTATCAGCACCTAAATCTAAATAAGCAGTTTATGGAATTTCCTTCTTGAAACACAACTGTGTCAGCTTTTACATTTGTGAAATGAGTAGAAATTGCTAAATGAACACAAAAGCCCTGCTTTGAAGTTGCCAGATGGACTTTCCAGGATTCTAGGATAGCTAGAAACAGCTAGGTTTTCTTCTGGCAAAACAACAGTGAATGCAATGGGATTATATCAGCAAGGAATTTAGTAACTATATGTATTCATGTCTAAGAAAAACATCTTCCTCAGACTACAACCATTCAGATTCTTAGCTCGCCTCAAAAATACTACTTTTCAAGTTCTCCATGACTATATTTATATGCCTTTAACTTAAAGGTCTCAATTGTGGCTTTGCCTTAAGCCCAGAATAATAAAGGACACCCTACGGTTCTGTTGCTGCTGCAGCTGCCAGCAGGGAGATTTTCCTCCAATTTTCCCTGTTCTTCTGGGGAAAGAACAAACTGTGCTGGCTTTTTGCCCACCATAACACATGTATTTTCCCTGTTCTGATGACCCACGTTAGCACAGAGTTGCATGGAGGGGCAAAATAGAACCAGTGCTACACGTTTTGTGACACATCTGCAGCACACCAGTGGTGTTATATAACTATGGAATTCTGTCCTTTTTTCCCCCTGATGTAGGTTGAGATTGTAATCTGAAGAATCGGAGTCCAAACTAAAATAGAAAGGAATCAACTTCTATGGTGATCTACTTTTACATACCACACAAACTAATTTTACACAATCCCAGTTGTTATTTGGGGCAAGTGGTCAAGTCAGATCTCTGTCATAATCACCAGCTGACAGTCAAAAAACCAAGCAGCTAGCTCTATATGCCAGCTGTCATTCAACTGAAAGTCGAGTTTAATCTTTTCTTCCTCCAAACTGTATCTAGTGCTGACGCCAGCTCAGATGTGACTATCAGAATATTGAGAAAATCCCTGCATTTTCAGTAGTAGAGGAAGAGAGCTAAAGTGAGAGAATAGACTTAATACTCAATTATTCCCAATCTTCATATTGCTGCAGAGAATCAGCAAGTGGTTTTGCATGTTTCTTTTATAAATTTTAAGGGATTTATGTTTCATACTGACAATTTTTTTCCAACCAGAGTTACTGTCTGGGCAACTTAACAACTGTTAGTTGCCAGTCAAATATTCTGTTTCAAATTCTGATTCTATGATCTGTATAGTTTTAAAAGATGCTATGTAACGTCATGTTATCCTCATAGTTGGCTGTGATTGTTACTATTTAGAATTTATTTGCTCATCGTAATATTTCTGTGCCATCTTTTGGCAACATTCAAATCAGCATACAAAATTAAAATTACAAAACAAAACCAACAAGCAAACAAATAAATAAATAAATAAAACATAGTACATCAAAATATCAATTACGAATGCTCTGTACCCTGGAATGATAGGGTCAAAAGGAGCACTTGATCCAATTGTCCAGCCACAGTTTAAAAGATCCATAAGAAGAAACATTTTCCCATTTCTAGGAAACCAAAAGAAAACATAAAATGGACTCCCACACAGAATGAATTCCAGGATCTTGATCCTATTACAAAAAAGACCCTGTCCTGCAGACCTGACAATTTCAGCTCAAATGGAGGTGGGGAAACATTGCAGATATTTGGGTTATTTAGGTAGGAAACTAAGTTAGCCCCTCATACTTACATTCTGATGACAACTGATGACAGCTGTTCCAGAAGTTGTATAAATATAAGCCATGCCTCTTAACACATGAAATTGTGTTGTGACATTGTCAGTCATTGAATATTCAAATCGATTCTAAATTTCTTATTAGAAATGTCTTGCTCTTCAAATACTAAGTACAATAAGTACTTAAAAGAAAGTGATATTATGATTGTTGTGGGTTGTTTGGGCTCTTTGGCCGTGTTCTGAAGGTTGTTCTTCCTAACATTTCACCAGTCTCTGTGGCCAGCATCTTCAGAGGACAGCACTCTGTGCTCTGGTGTAGCTGGCTTGGGAGTGCAGTATTTATGGATGTGAGATAGGCTTTTGTCTTTTTCTGTACATGGGTGATTAGTGTGTATTGTTGTGGGTGTATTGTGCTAAGGAGAAGAGATTATCTGTTCCTGTGGTTGATGGGTGTCATTAGCTGGTCTTTTGTGTGTAGTGATCCCCTGTCCTTGTGGCTGGGTAGAGTTCGTTGACCTTTTGCACGCTGTATTTTTGAGAGCTGGACCTATGAAACAAACTTCTACATGGAGCATTTTGAAAAACTTGCCCTGGCTTCGGCACCCCTCGCACCCACAGTCTGGTTCCGATATGTGGATGACACCTTTGCAATTTGGAGTCACGGTGAAGAAAAATTGGAAAAATTTCTCAACCATCTCAACAGCAGAGACACTGCAGACTAAAACAACCAGAAAAATCTGCAGTAGCTGAACATGGCCTGAAACAAACTGGACATGAAATTCTATTTCAAAATACTGAAATACTGGACAACACCAGCAATCATTACGTCAGACTGCACAGGGAAGCCATTGAAATCCACAAGCACCAGCACAGTTTCAACAAAAAAGTGGAAAGTGTGAAGCTCAGCAAAACTTGGCTCCCAGCTCTCAAAAATACAGCGTGCAAAAGTCAACGAACTCTACGCAGCCACAAGAACAGGGGATCACTACACACAAAAGACCAGCTAATGACACCCATCAACCACAGGAACAGATAATCTCTTCTCTTTTTAGCTCAACAATACACACTAATCACCCATCTACAGAAAAAGACAAAAGCCTGTCTCATAGCCATAAATACTGCACTCCCAAGCCAACTACAGCAGAGCACAGGTTGCTGTCCTCTGAAGATGTCAGCCACAGAGACTGGCGAAATGTTAGGGAGAACAACCTTCAGAACACAGCCAAAGAGCCCGAAAAACCCACAACAACCATTAGATCCCGGCCGTGAAAGCCTTCCCGACTAAAGTGATATTATGTTATATATATTACAAAAAGTTGCAAGTTTATGGCAAACTTCAATTGCCATACCTGCTTCAGTACTGAAACTTGTTTCAGACAGGTTTGTGCTTCATATTGATCACTGAACCTATGAAACAAAGGCTTCCATTTTATACAATCTCAGTTGTAACTGGACAATCATACTTGTAACTGGTGTGCATATCATTTTAATGGATCTTTTTTAATGAATTTTTTTAAAGCATCCCTTTTGCTTGATGCAAAGAAACGTGATTCACATAGGATGCGACACTCTCTTACATTTCATTCATACTGAGTAAGTTCATGGCATTGTCACCTTTCCATAAGTTGCTATTTCCTGCAAACTTGTTTTATAAGGTAATTAACATGTTTAGGCCAAGAAGTAAATGTGCATTGGGAAAACCTATCAGGAGTTCCTTTACAGAACTGTTGACGTAGGCAAGGTAGTAAGGAGTCAGAGTCATGTTCTATAGAATTCACTATCTTTGCACTTGTTTCCAAAGTGAGAAGCAAAATAAGGGGGGGGGGAAGAGAGTGTTTGTCATTAAGTGAATTTCCTGCAGCTAAACTTTATTAAAGTGGCATATAGAAAAAGCAGTACAGTAAATCTCATCAGAATATTTGGTTATTGGTTAGCTATTCCCAAATTACAGTCTTTAGATTCTCCATTTATGAATAGATTTAAGGAAATTTGGGGTTGCAGTTTATTTTTTATGAGTTTGTGGTTATGTAAAATCTGTAATGACCACAGAAGATATGAGGTAACTTAGAAAACATTTATCTTTCAAGTAGCAAGTGACTCATTAAATT